ATGTCCATAAAATTCAACTTAATCATAGACTCTGTATATGTAAAGGTTGTATTAGAAGGATTTCCCAGAATAATGTCATCTTCGATATCTACGGAGGGCTTAGATTGTCACTCTTCAGCTAAAATTTGTCAAATTTTAGGGCAAAGGGCACAGGGCAATGGTTAGAGCCCCCTGATCTCTTAATCTTTCTAATATTATGCAGACATTTAGTTAATAGGTAGATACAAACGTGACTAAAAGGAAGTTGGGTACACTTCCTGTCTTCTATGTTTACGGAGCGCCCAAAGTGCCAGTTGGATATTCAAAATATATAGTGAAAACCTACCTGAGACCGCTTAAATGAGGGTGAGACCCCCCTGGTCTTTCAATGTCCATAAAATTCAACTTAATCATAGACTCTGTATATGTAAAGGTTGTATTAGAAGGATTTCCCAGAATAATGACATCTTCGATATCTACGGAGGGCTTAGATTGTCACTCTTCAGCTAAAAATTGTCAAAATTTTAGGGCAAAGGGCACAGGGCAATGGTTAGAGCTCCCTGATCCCTCAATCTTTTTAATATTATGCAGACATTTAGTTAAGAGGTAGATACAAACGTGACTAAAAGGAATTTGGGTACACTTCCTGTCTTCTATGTTTACGGAGCGCCCAAAGTGCCAGTTGGATATTCAAAATATATAGTGAAAACCTACCTGAGACCGCTTAAATGAGGGTCAGACCCCTCTGGTCTTTCAATGTCCATAAAATTCAACTTAATCATAGACTCTGTATATGTAAAGGTTGTATTAGAAGGATTTCCCAGAATAATGACATCTTCGATATCTACGGAGGGCTTAGATTGTCACTCTTCAGCTAAAAATTGTCAAAATTTTAGGGCAAAGGGCACAGGGCAATGGTTAGAGCTCCCTGATCCCTCAATCTTTTTAATATTATGCAGACATTTAGTTAATAGGTAGATACAAACGTGACTAAAAGGAATTTGGGTACACTTCCTGTCTTCTATGTTTACGGAGCGCCCAAAGTGCCAGTTGGATATTCAAAATATATAGTGAAAACCTACCTGAGACCGCTTAAATGAGGGTCAGACCCCTCTGGTCTTTCAATGTCCATAAAATTCAACTTAATCATAGACTCTGTATATGTTAAGGTTGTATTAGAAGGATTTTCCAGAATAATGTCATCTTCGATATCTACGGAGGGCTTAGATTGTCACTCTTCAGCTAAAAATTGTCAAAATTTTAGAACAAAGGGCACAGGGCAATGGTTAGAGCCCCCTGATCTCTGAATCTTTCTAATATTATGCAGACATTTAGTTAATAGGTAGATACAAACGTGACTAAAAGGAATTTGGGTACACTTTCTGTCTTCCATGTTTACGGAGCGCCCAAAGTGCCAGTTGGATATTCAAAATATATAGTGAAAACCTACCTGAGACCGCTTAAATGAGGGTGAGACCCCCCTGGTTTTTCAATGTCCATAAAATTCAACTTAATCATAGACTCTGTATATGTAAAGGTTGTGTTAGAAGGATTTCCCAGAATAATGTCATCTTCGATATCTACGGAGGGCTTAGATTGTCACTCTTCAGCTAAAAATTGTCAAAATTTTAGGACAAAGGGCACAGGGCAATGGTTAGAGCCCCCTGATCTCTCAATCTTTCTAATATTATGCAGACATTTAGTAAATAGGTAGATACAAACGTGACTAAAAGGAATTTGGGTACACTTCTAGTCTTCTATGTTTACGGAGCGCCCAAAGTGCCAGTTGGATATTCAAAATATATAGTGAAAATCTACCTGAGACCGCTTAAATGAGGGTGAGACCACCCTGGTCTTTCAATGTCCATAAAATTCAACTTAATCATAGACTCTGTATATGTAAAGGTTGTATTAGAAGGATTTCCCAGAATAATGTCATCTTCGATATCTACGGAGGGCTTAGATTGTCACTCTTCAGCTAAAAATTGTCAAAATTTTAGGACAAAGGGCACAGGGCAATGGTTAGAGCCCCCTGATCTCTCAATCTTTCTAATATTATGCAGACATTAAGTTAATAGGTAGATACAAACGTGACTAAAAGGAATTTGGGTACACTTCCTGTCTTCCATGTTTACGGAGCGCCGAAAGTGCCAGTTGGATATTCAAAATATATAGTGAAAACCTACCTGAGACCGCTTAAATGAGGGTGAGACCCCCCTGGTCTTTCAACGCCATAAAATTCAACTCAATCATAGACTCTGTATATGTAAAGGTTGTATTAGAAGGATTTCCCAGAATAATGTCATCTTCGATATCTACGGAGGGCTTAGATTGTCACTCTTCAGCTAAAAATTGTCAAAATTTTAGGACAAAGGGCACAGGGCAATGGTTAGAGCCCCCTGATCTCTCAATCTTTCTAATATTATGCAGACATTTAGTTAATAGGTAGATACAAACGTGACTACAAGGAATTTGGGTACACTTCCTGTCTTCTATGTTAACGGAGCGCCCAAAGTGCCAGTTGGATATTCAAAATATATAGTGAAAACCTACCTGAGACCGCTTAAATGAGGGTGAGACCCCCCTGGTCTTTCAATGTCCATAAAATTCAACTTAATCATAGACTCTGTATATGTAAAGGTTGTATTAGAAGGATTTCTCAGAATAATGTCATCTTCGATATCTACGGAGGGCTTAGATTGTCACTCTTCAGCTAAAAATTGTCAAAATTTTAGGACAAAGGGCACAGGGCAATGGTTAGAGCCCCCTGAGGAGTTAGGAGTTATCTACCTTTATGAAATAAATTTGTCGTTATGTTTTTGTAAATAATAAACTGTAAGCCGTATAAACATATTGTCTTTTTATTTGAAATCCTTGGGGCCTTACTTAGAAAATGAGGTCAAGGTCAAAGGTCAAGGTCATGTTCTCAATTTTGTCTTTTGCATGTTTTTGCATTTTCTCTAATATTTTTAACGTTATATATATAATAACTAGTGCAAAATGTTTGTTTTATTGTGATGAAGATATGATACATCAGGTCTGAAACAATCCAGTGACATCTTATAGGAGTTATTGCCCCTGAAATGTTTTATTTTAAGGTAAATTAATTTTTACTTCAGATTGGTACATGATAAAGCAATAAGGTCTATAGCAAAATGTTAAGTGATTTATCAACCGGAAGTGAACTTGAGTGAACCGGAAGTAGTCATTTTTGCACTTATTTTATGAAAAAATTCATAGAAAACCATATATTTATTGAATGGTCATACATTAACCTATCATTTGAGACCGGAAGTGACATTTTATAAACCGGAAGTAGCATATTATCTTCCTTATTACATGCATAAGTATATACAAACTATATATTTTTGGAATCAGTGTGAATAAAGCTATCGGATGAGACGGAAGTTACATTTTCTAAAACGGAAGTAGCCAATTATTTCCCTTTTTACAAGCAAAAGTATATATAAACCATATATTTTTGGAATCAGTGTAAATAAAGCTATCATATGAGATCGGAAGTGACATTTTCTAAACCGGAAGTTGACAATTATCTCCCTTTTTTCAGGCAAAAGTCTATAGAAACCATATATCTATTGAATCAGTATGAAGAAACCTATGATTGGACGCCAATAGTAGCTTTGAGTAAACCAGAAGTAGTTTCTTATCAATTATTTAGAAAATTGATGTGGAAAGACCTTCAATTGATCTTTGAACAATTGGTTTTTATTATAATTTTTTTTCTTCCGCCAAAGTTTGATCTCGCGTCAAATTTTTGTTTCGCAATATGTCGCTTAGATATTTTATATATTGTATCGTACAGTTCATGCACTTTTAAAATTGACCCCGTTTAGCCGAACAATTTTCTGTTGAAGAATTATCTTCCCGTTCACTGTTTATCATGTGTATGCATCTCCTCCGAAACCAATAAAGATATCGACAAAATTCTTTTTTTAAATTGTTCGTTACATCCTCAAAAATGTTTGGCTGATTTGGATCGAAGCAATCTGGTGAAATCTTATAGGAGGTATCTACCTTTACCAAATAGATTTTAAAGTTTTTGTAACTCATAAATCGTTAGCCGTATAACCCTTGAGTCTTTTTTTATAAGGCCCCTGGGTCCTAACTTGAAAAATGAGGTCAAGGTTAAAGGTCAAGGTCATGTTCTCAATTTTGACTTTTCCTTGTTTTTGCATTTTCTCTGACACTTTTAAAGATATATATAAAAATGTTTGCTTTATTGTGATGAATATATGATACATTTGATCTGAAACAATCCAATGACATCTTATAGGAGTTGTTGCCCCTGAAATGTTTTAATTTAAGGTTAATTTAAGGTTAATTGATTATTTCTTCAACTTGGTTCATAATAACGTCATGATCCGACAGCTTTTCACGTATTTATATATTTATACATCCTTTACTTTTCTTTATTGGGGTTGGAGCGTCCAATTTTCGTTTCCGCACTCTAACTTAAGTTTTTCTCATCCAAATATTATGAAACTCATACAAGATGCTAAGAACCAAAACTCGCAGACAGAGTTGGAATTTGGGAAGTGGGGCACTTACCATTCTAGAAATATGCCCCTTTATAACTTGGAAAATTGCAAATGTTTACAGTTTCCGCACTGTAACTTAAGTTTGTCTCATCAAAATTTTATGAAACGTATACACAATTCTAAGAACCAAAACACATAAACAAGGTTTAGTTTGGGCAGTGAGTCATTTACCGTTCTAGAGTTATGCCTTTTTGACTTGGAAACTAGCAAAGCCTATGCGGGGGGCATTCTTGTCCTTTTTATTGAGAATTTCATTTTTGTCTTGTGCTATAGATCCAATAAGCACATCTTATGTGTGTACTACAACGTATTTGCATATTATACAAATGAACTCAAGATTTGAAAACATATTTTGTAAATGGTCATTCAGATTGTAAAGGTGTTGTGAAAAAAATAATATCAACCATTTTACGGTTATGTTTAATCTTAATACAAAAATCAGTTACAAACCTTCTATTTCAGTTACTTTCATTGTTGCACTGGCGTGGTGTTACTGTAAGTATTTTCTTTTTTATCTTAGAATTTTTCTTTCATTGTTTTTGTACTGTTAGTATCTGTTATTTTGTATACTTAGAAAACGACTTTTCAAATAAAAGAGAGGTTTCGAAACACGACACAGAGCTTCCAAACCCTCCACGTATCACAGCATTTCACTTTGATTTGTCTCTGAATTTTACAGTTTTAAAATTAACATATTTCACAGCGTATAATGAAAATTATTACTTTTCATTTCAATTCCTGACGTAAAAAAATGAATATTTTCACGTTTTTTTTTTTGTTTTTGTTTTTTTTTTTTATTAAAAGCTTTGCTGCTGTCCATATTTCAATAACTCATTGTATTTAACAGATACTGAATCTGTTAACACTCATTGAACAAGATTTCATTGTCAACGACCTACGACAGCTCTAATATATATATATATATATATATATATAATTCGTCTAAATAACAGCCCAACAATGTTAGATATACAGAATGTGTTTTCAGCCTTGTATCACCATCACTGGTGATCCGATGGATAAAATCTGTCGTAGAGTTGTCACTGGTTCAGTCGTACTTATACATGTACATGTATATATATGTATATGTATTGAAATTATGAATGACAAACTGGAGACGACAAGGTCAGAGTGCACACACAGCATAAAAGGGACCCTTCCGTCAGAAATACACCCTACAGTGACCATTCTGATCTTTGCAGTATGAGAAATTAACGTATGTTTCCGTTTTCAAGGTCCTTAATGAAAACAAATCCTTCTGAATAGTCAAAGATTAATACTTTATTCGGAAATTCAAATCAAAACTAAACCGAAATTAGATAGTAAAATGTTGATGGCAACCTGTTAACGAATACGAATACTTTATTTAACCAATTATCGCGCTCCAATTCACGTTCTGTTTATCTGATTACATTGAGTATTTTTCGTATTTAGAATTAAATTCACATTAAGTTTTAGGTTCTCGCTTTTGTTATCCCTTTTGTTACTGTGTGAAACAAATTATTTTTATTGTTTCGAGGAAGAATTGGAGATTTTCAACATTTTGGCGTTTATTGGATAGTACGTTTAAACATATGGCGTTATATTTTGTTCAACTTTACTTTGTACTATCCAAGTTCACGCATGTCTGTACTTTTTTTTTCTTTTCTTTTTTTTTGAAATCCGCTATTCACCAGTTTAAAAGGAAACTGTTCGGATCAGGACTTGTTTTAATTGATATAGTCGTATATCCTGTTTCGAAAACTAGTATCCATTCTAACACATCAATCCGGTAAAATTACAGAAATGAAAAGATAACATGTTCGAACACTGTTACTAGATAGCTTAGTTTAGCAGAACACAGTTTGATGCCCCTGCGACAAAATGTCGGGGGCATATTGATTTACCCCTGTATGTCCGTCCGTCCGTTCGTCCGTCCGGATATAGATACATGGTTTCTCCACCTACAGTTTTTGAGCTACAGCTTTAATATTTTTTAGGTTGTTTGTACACATAATAGAGGTGTGCATGTCGACAGGAGTTTGATTTTTTTTCAAATATTCTCAAAACACCAGGTATTTGGACCTAATACTTTTTTTGTACTAGCTGCATAAAGAGATCATGGTTTGTCCGGCTATCTCCTCCTACAGTTTTTGAGCTACAGCTTTAATATTTTGTAGGTTATTTGTACACATAATAGAGGTGTGCATGTCCACAGGATTTTGATTTTTTTTTTTTCAAATATTCTCAAAATGCCAGGTATTTTGACTTATTCATTTTTTGTACTAAAAGTCAGAAAGGGGGAATGTTAGATATTCACAAAACCGGTAGTTGGACTTCATTTTTCATTTCACTTTCTATATAATTGAATAACATGGGTTTTACTACTACAGTTTGATGTCCCTAATGCAATAAATAACAATTTTTAGTATTGTCAAATATTTAATCAATACCGGGAATTTGAACTTTGTGACCACTGGAAAAAGAAAGTTGAACTTGGTGATTGCTTGAAACCTTTTGGCAGGACATTCAGTCCTGCAAGTATAGACATTCAGAACAAAAATAATAAATAGTACATAGTGTTAAATTTATATAATTTCTTATTGTTAGGCGGGGGCATCATTTGTGTCTTACAGACAGCGCAACAATTTCAAGTTGTACTTCAACATCACTGTTTGTCAAATATTGTTAAAACAGAGATAACAACGATGACGGTTCATAAGGTTAAAAAAAACAACGCAATTTTTGCGTACGGCCTCTTTGATACTGGCGTATTAATGGTTTGAGGTGAAGAATTGTATAATATCTTACAAATTTGTTTCGCTAGTAATTATACCCCCCGCAAACAAAGTTTTGGGGATATTTAGGAATCACCATGTTTGTCTGTCTGTCCGGTCTGATGTCTGTATGCCTGTATGTCTGTCTGTCTGTCTGTCAAATTAGTGTCCGGAGCTTTTGTACCATAGTACTTAAGTTAACAAAATTGGTATACAGTTGCAGTATGGGCTGGGGTGTCATATACCAAAGACAGGTACTCTGACCTTGACTTTTACCTTTGACCCCTATACTAGTAAAACCTTGTACAATTAATGTCCGGTGCATAACTTTTGTACCGTTACTATAAGTTAACCAAACTTGGTAAACAGTTGCATCATGGGCTGGAGGTGTGTCTTATACCAAAGTCGGGTCATTATGACCTTGACCTTTGACTCCCTATAATAGTAAAACCTTTTGCAATTCGTGTCTGGCTCATAACTTTTGTACCGTAAAAATTTGGATAACCAAACTTAGCATGCAGTTGCATTATGGGATGGGAATGTGTATCATACTGAAGTCAGATTACTCTGACCTTGACTTTGACCTTTGACCACTATTTCAGTAAAACCATAACCAATTCGTGTCCTGCTCATTACTTTTGTACCGTAAAACTAAGGTTAACCAAACTTGGAATGCAGATGCATCACGGGCTTGGGTGATTCACATACCAAAAACAGGTCACTCTAACCTCTGACCCCTATGATAGTTAAACCTTTTCTGATTTGTGTCCTGTGTGTAACTCTTGTACCATAAAAACTAGGTTGACCAAACTGGGTACGCTGATACATCATGGGGGAGTCATATATCAAAGTCTCGTCAATCTGACCATGAATTTGACCTTCGACACCTATGACAGTAAAACATTCGTAGTTTGGTGCAAAAAGTTTATACTGTAGCACTTAGATTGACACAACTTAGTATGCAGGAGCATCAAACTGACCTTGACCGTGACCTTTAATTTCTTAATTTACAGCATACAAACCTCAGACTTTGTTCCTAAGTCAGTATACCGGTAATTCTTTCATATTGACTTATCAATAATCATATGTCAATCTAACTCAGAGGCAACGATTATATTAAATGAATGACTGAAAACCAAAAATATCAAAATGTATGCCTTTTTGAAAAGACACAATGACTTTATTATGTACCAGTATGAAATAATAAGCAATTAACCTAACATATCACATTTTCAGGGACAATAACTGTCATCAGATCGCTTTGGATCTCAATAACCAAAGCATTTTGCATCAGTTCTTTGTTATCTACCTTTAAGTTTTATAGTTTTCAAGGAGATGGAGACACCAGCAAAGGGCAACATTTAGAATATGACCTTCACCTTTGACCTTGACTTCGTTTTCTTTTTGATGGACCAAGGACCTAAAATCAGGATCTCCTACGTCTCTATCAATTGCAGTTCATGAGAAACATTTATATATCACTTATGTTAAATGCAAAAGGGGAAATAACTCTCATATGGAGTCTCAGTGTCGCTTCGGTTAAGATTGACTGAAGCATCCTAAGGATTTACGAGCATTTTGGAAAAAAAAATAATTTGTCGATTTCTTTTACGGTTGCGAAGAAGATGTGCATACAAGATAAACTGTGTTCGGGCAGTTAATCTTTCAAAAACATTATTCGTTTCAGCAGGGTCAAATTTAAAAGCGCATACACTTTTAAATTGCGATAACATATACCAAATATCTAAGCGAGATGTTGCAAAACAAAAATTACACTCAAGAAACAAATTTGGCGGACGAAGAAAAAATATAATCAGAACAAATTCAAAAAGTCTTTCCATAGAAAAGTGAAAAGACCTTATTAATTGCGTCTTTTGTATCTAAGACCCAATACATCTATTGTAATGGTGCACTACCGTTTAAAACATAATCTATTAATCAGTTTAGTCATCAATAACCTAAAAAAGTTGAAAACAGATGAAGAGATATTATTTTAATTGGTTGGCATTTAAAAACATATTATATGATTGTTATTATTTAGTCTTTTTTGGCGATTAGCAATTGTCAGTTTGTTTAAGGTATGTTTGCCTTGTACTAGTAAAGTTTGTACGTTTCTGCATTCAAACACTACACTGTTCAATATCAGCAAGTTTTTTTAAATTCATTTTAACGACAAAGTTAAGAAAATATCCCACTCGATCCCTTTAAATAACAGCCCTTAGAGCAGCCAAATTTTATCTTAAGACCATCGTATGACATGTCTTAGTCCTACGATACCTTCGAAACCGGTGGTTATAAATCATATAAGTGAAAGCTTAGTTAAACTTAGTGAATCCTATTTCGATGTATTTTGAATGTTCTCTTGACTTTCTTAATTTGTAATACACATTTAATACACAGGTTAATATTGGTTTCTTTAAAAATATATCTATAAGGATAAAATTAATTTCTAACGATGGTTTGAAGATTTGGTCAGATAATAGTTTCAATGAAATACAGTATGATTAATTTTTTAATTCAAATTTATCAATTCAGTATTTCACGTTTACTGTTAACAATTTACTTAATCTACACCTTCAATTTAGTTTATAAGAATAAGGAGATGTGGTATGATTGCCAATTAGACAACTATCCACCAAAGTTCAAATGAAGTGAATGTAAGCAATTATAGGCAACCGTTCGGCCTTCAACAATGAGTAAAACCCATACCGTGTAGTCGGCTATAAAAGGCCCCGACATGAAAAATATGAAACCCTAATTTATATTAAAACAATTCACGAAAACAAATATGAGAGACGTGAACCAACGACAACCACAGACATACAGTCTCCTGTCTTGTGAGAGCAGGCACATAAAGAATGTGGCGGGGTTAAACAAGTGTGTGAGTTTCCCCCCCCCCCCCCCTTTTTTCTCTCTAACCCGGGACAGTGGTGTTACAGCAACACATAAGAACAAACTATAAAAATCAGTTTAACAGACTTCACTCGTCAGATCGATACAAAGCAGAAAAAACATCTAACAAAAACTTTGGTCTTTATATATCCCTGACGACAAAAATAGACATAAAGTACAGACCTGAGAGTACTCACAGTTACATGTACTAACAGCTAGTTAAAAGTCAATAACAACTAATAAAAAAAATCTTATATATAAGTTATTGAATAGCTAAGGAAAATATTAAATAAGAAGGTAAATCTATAAAGTTAGATAAATTCATACATTAAACAGTTTTAAAGAACCAAAGTATGATTAATCAATGATTAAAAAAAAAGAGAAAAAAAAAACATAATTCTTTTCAATTTTGTATTTTGAAAATCCCTTTATTGTATATTTTCAGTTAGATTATAATATAATATTAAATGAATATTAGTTTAAAGTCGTTATATTAAAGAAATAAAAACAAATAATTGTACGTAGTCAAGATTATAAGCCTAAAATTATCAAACTTGTTAATATCCGATGTCATGACTTTTTAGATTGCATAGACACAAAAGGCCATGCCGAAATATAACATTTTATTGTTGTTGTTCAGATTGTGTTTACCACCTTTTCGTTTGATTTGTGGGATTAATGCACCTGATATTGAAAAACTGAAAACCATTTTTTTTTATAATTTTCCATTCCAGACCTTTCGAGAAGATACGTTTACAATGGTATGTATTTTAATTTCAAACGGCGATAGATCAACTGTGTTCCAGTTTAAACATAATCATAAAAAAGGATAGGATACAAATTAGTCCAACTTACATCGTCTTCTCCTACAAATATTAAATTCATTATTATTTTTTATCAGCTATAGTTACATGTTGTAGAAGAGAGGATAAGGCGTCTGCGCAATGCTAGGCGGTGTTGTCGTAGAAGTATGTAGTGAAAAGTACAGGTTCAAGCCCCGGCCGGGGAGGAAGTAAAGAATCAAACCTACTTTAACATTGTTAGGTTGATTTTCTAGACACTTTATATATATATCCGTTGTTCGACCTGTTGGTCAAATGCGTTTTGTTTAAATATACTTTTTTCTCTTTTTTTTGGTCTTTTGGAAAATGTTTTTTGTGCTGTATTTAGACCCCTCTACCAAGAAATTTGTTTTGCATGCACACGTATAAAAATTGCGGTTTTTATCCAACGCAACCATAAGTTGGAACGTTGTTTTCAATTTAGACTTGTGTACATTTTTTCGTTTGGGCTTGTATTATATTTGCCTTCGGGTTTATATGATCCGTTCATCCTATTTCGACTCTTCAAAATTCAAGAGTCTATCCTAAATTGAGGTAAATTATATGGCCTTCCAAATACCGTTTCGATTCCTAACATCACTGAAGAGACATTAATTGTCGAAATCTGGATATGGTGTACACATTTTTGCACCTCATGTTTGCGGTATACCATCTTTTCCGCACGTTTATTGTTTTATGCTTGGTATTTAATTAAAAATAAAGATCCATTTTGTTACATCTTGTGATCCGTTTATTTGGCCATCGCCAATGACAGTCAGCAGGGTTTAAGAACATCCGTTGCTCGACCTGTTAGTCAAATGCGTTTTGTTTAAATATACCTTTTCACTTTTTTTAGACTTTTGGAAAATGTTGTTTGTGCTGTATTTAGACCCCTCTACCAAGAAATTTGTTTTGCATGCACACGTGTAAAATTTGCGGTTTTTACCCAACGCAATCATAGGTTTAAACATTGTTTTTAATTTAGACTTGTTTATATTTTTTCGTTTGGGCTTGTATTATATTTGTCTTCGGGTTTATATGATCCGTTCGTCCTATTTCGACTCTTCAAAATTCAGGAGTCTATCCTAAATTGAGGTAAATTATATGGTCTTCCAAATACCGTTTCGATTCTTTACATCACTGAAGAGACATTAATTGTCGAAATCCGGATATGGTGTACTAATTTTTGCACCTTTTGTTTGCCGTATACCATCTTTTCCGCAAGTTTATTGTTTTCTGTTTGGTATTAAATTATTAGTTAAGATCAATTTAGTTACATCTGGTGATCCGTTTATTTTGCAATCGCCAATGGCAGTCAGCAGGGTTTAAGAACATCCGTTGTTCGACCTGCTAGTCAAATGCGTTTTGTTAAAATATACTTTTTCACTTTTTTGGTCTTTTGGAAAATGTTGTTTGTGCTGTTTTTATACCCCTCAACCAAGAAATTTGTTTTGTATGCACACGTATAAAAATTACGGTTTTTTATCCAACGCAATCATAGGTTTGAACGTTGTTTTCAATTTAGACTTGTTTATATAGATATATATATAGATTGCCTAAGAATGTAATTTAAACACACTATTTAGTATGTCAATATTAGAATGTTTAAAATATTTACAAAACGATAAAAATAAACGCAACATTTCGCAAGACAAACTAGCTTTAGTAAACGTGCACCTATCCAGGTGAAATCGGATGTAGATGATAAGAAACTTTTGCAGCTCAATGTACATGTTGCACATGAATTTAGCTGCCTTGTAAATAATCCATAATTTGGATGAAGTTCAAGATCATTTACAAAATTGGTGGTTGAAGTTTGCAACGTCCATTGGCCAATATTACAGGATAAAAAGGACGATGCTGTGTATTAAATTATTCTTTATCTTTCCTGTATCTCTTCTCGTCTTTTTTGTTAAGACCATCCGGTTCTAAGGTGTGGAGCTGGTGGATCCAAAAGTTTTCTCTTCTCCTTCTCTGGTGTCCCACTCGGTGTTGACTTCTATGTTTGGAAAGTAACATTATCAAAAGGATGTTTCTTTGAGCGAAGATGTCTTGTGAGAGGACAGTGTTTGTTGGTTTTGTACCATGAACGATGGTTATTGAGCCGAATATTGTATTGGCAGCTTTACAACATAAGCAATTCCTTCGACCACATTGTTTGTAGCAACCGGGAGGTGGAGTAGGCTGCTTTGCTAATACAGATGTCACTAATTTGTCACGGATGTTTTTAGGTCTTCCGAAGGCCATGACTGGTGGTGAGGAAAATACTGTCTTTAGATTTGAGTCATTTTCTATAATTTTCCAATGCTTCTGAACAATGGATGACACATTTTTAAAATCAGGATGGTAAGTGAGTACAAGAGGTGTTCTGTTGACTCCTTTATTCTTATCCTTGTACTCTAGAAGTTCTTGGCGACTAGTTTTGTTTGCTCTTTCGAAAGCTGTATCAATGATGTTGTTATTGTATCCTCGAACAACAAGATGTTTACGTAGTTGTCCAAGTCTAGTATTTTGCTTATTTTCAGTAGAGCATATTCTCTTGATTCGCAATGCCTGGCTGAATGGGATACCACGGGAGCAGTGTTTAGGATGGCAACTTTTAGTAGAAAAGAATTGATGTTTGTCCGTTTTTTTGGTATGAAGGTCCGTTATAATGGTTCCGTTCTGGATGTAACTCGTAGTATCAAGGAAGTTTATTTTCTCCATAGATGTTTCGTATGTAAATTTAATTGAATGGTGGAAAGAGTTATAGTGTTCTAGAAATTCATTAAGATGGTCTTGTGAATCTGTCCATTTAAAATCAATATCGTCAATGAATCAAAACCATGATAATGGCTGGTATGGAGCACTAGCCAAGAGGCGTTTTTCAAGATGGCCCATAAATATGTTGGCACAGGACGGGGCCATTTTTGTGCCCATACTATTGCCGTCTATCTGGAGATAGTGTTTGTCATTGAAAGAAAAGTTGTTGTTCTCCAGCACTAGTTTCAGAAGTGTAACAAGGCACTCAGTTGGAAGATCTTTTTCACTACGAGTGTTTCATGCCTCTTCACAAGCTGCTTATATATATAAGACACGTATAAAAATTGCGTTTTTATCCAAAGCAATCATAGGTTTGAACGTTGTTTTCAATTTAGACTTGTATATATGATATATATATCTATAACAAGTCTAAAAGGGTACAACATCACCAAAAAATAATTAAATCATGAACAAATTTTAGATATTTCGGATAACTAATATCCTCCATCAGTAAGATGTAAAATGACTCTTATCTTGACATGTGGTAGTCAAACTGAAATGAAAATCTTGAATGCTATACAAATTATCAATAATCAATACGCTGGTAATTTTTTTTTAATATTGGTGTTTGGGAGGAGGAATAAATTTCTTAAAACTGTAAGAGTCCAAAACGGAAGCCTGAGTTACTGGAAACAAGTGATGGTAGGGAAAATGAGTGACACATTCTATGTTTTTTTTCATTTATGCCCTCTGGGGAAACTGTCCTAAGCTTTCTTATCCAAAACCTTTCCTGAGCAAGTCTGTCGGCCCTTGACCAACCCTCGTTGTGGTCTATGATAGTGATGGTAAGGTTTTTGAGATCAGCTTGGGCGTGCCCAGGTGATCTCAAATGACGACTTACGGGGAGGTCGGTCTTGCAGGTGAAGTCACTTCGATGACCATTCGTGCGTTTGTTGAATGGCTGTTCTGTCTCGCCAACATACTGCATGCCACATCGACACTGACGAAGGTATACAACATTCTGGGTTGTGCAAGTTACATTACAAAATATAGTGTACACAGACCCAGTGGAGTGGCAAGTAAATTTTGAGTATTCAGTATTTGTTGGCAAGTCAGACATCGTCTGTTACCACACGACTTGCACCATCCTGCAGTTGAACAGCTTTTATTAGAGGAGACATCAGCTCTCACAAATAAGTCTTTCAGACTTGCTGGTCTCCGAAAAGCTAAGACAGGAGGTTTGGGAAAGATCTTGGATAATTTAGGGTGCTTGGCAATAGTTTGCCAATTGGCATGGTTCAAACGTGAAAGGTTAGTAAAGGCGGGATTGTATGTTAGAACAAATGGAACTATTTTGCTGCGCCTCTTGTGTTTGTATTGTAATAGGTCATTGCGGCTGTTATTGTTAGCACGTGCAAATCCCTTCTCTATGTCCCATTTCTTATAACCTCGTTTGGTCAAAAATCCGCGAAGTTCCTGTAACCGTTTATTGACAGCCTCCTCAGAGGAAAAAGTATCCCCTATAGTCAAGCTCTCAGAGTAAAGCGGATTTGCTCCTCTGAGGTAACGTGTGCATGCAAAACAAATTTCTTGGTAGAGGGGTCTAAATACAGCACAAATAACATTTTCCAAAAGACCAAAAAAGTGAAAAAGTATATTTTAACAAAACGCATTTGACTAGCAGGTCGAACAACGGATGTTCTTAAACCCTGCTGACTGCCATTGGCGATTGCCAAATAAACGGATCACCAGATGTAACAAAATGGATCTTAACAAATAATTCAATACCAAACAGAAAACAATAATCTTGCGGAAAAGATGGTATACGGCAAACAAAAGGTGCAAAAATTAGTACACCATATCCGGATTTCGACAATTAATGTCTCTTCAGTGATGTTAGGAATCGAAACGGTATTTGGAAGACCATATAATTTACCTCAATTTAGGATAGACTCTTGAATTTTGAAGAGTTGAAATAGGACGAACGGATCATATAAACCCGAAGGCAAATAAAATACAAGCCCAAACGAAAAAATGTACACAAGTCTAAATTGAAAACAACGTTCAAACCTATGATTGGGTTGGGTTAAAACCGCAATTTTTACACGTGTGCATGCAAAACAAATTTCTTGGTAGAGGGGTCTAAATACAGCACAAACAACATTTTCCAAAAGACCAAAAAAGTGAAAAGGTATATTTCAACAAAACGTATTTGACTAACAGTTCGAACAACGGATGTTCTTAAACCCTGCTGACTGCCATTGGCGATTGCCAAATAAACTTGGGGAAAAGATGGTATACCGCAAACATGAGGTGCAAAAAATTGTACACCATATCCGGATTTAGACAATTAATGTCTCTTCAGTGGTGTTAGGAATCGAAACGGTATTTTGAAGGCAATATAATTTACCTCAATTTAGGTAGACTCTTGAATTTTGAAGAGTCGAAATAGATTGAACGGATCATATAAACCTGAATGCAAATATAATACAAGCCCAAACGAAAAATTATAAAAAAGTCTAAATTGAAAACAACGTTCAAACCTATGATTGCGTTGGATAAAAACCGCAATTTGTATACGTGTGCATGCAAAACAAAGCAGGTCGAACAACGGATGTTCTTAAACACTGCTGACTGCCATTGGCGATCGCCAAATAAACGGATCACCAGATGTAACAAAATGAATCTTAATTATTAATTTATTACCAAACAGAAAACAATAAACTTGCGGAAAAGATGATATACCGCAAATTGAGGTGCAAAAATTAGTACACTATATCCGGATTTTGACAATTAACGTTATTTCAGTGATGTTAGGAATCGAAACGGTATTTGGAAATCCATATAATTTACCTCAATTTAGGATAGACTCTTGAATTTTGAAGAGTCGAAATAGGATGAACGGATTATATGAACCCGAAGGCAAATATAATACAAGCCCAAACGAAAAAATATAAACAAGTCTAAATTGAAAACAACGTTCAAACCTATGATTGCGTTGGATAAAAACCGGAATTTTTCACCTGTGCATGCAAAACAAATTTCTTGGTAGAGGGGTCTAAATACAGCACAAACAACATTTTCCAAAAGACAAAAAAAGTGAAAAAATATATTTTAACAAAACGCATTTGACTAGCAGGTCGAACAGCGGATGTTCTTATACACTGCTGACTGCCATGGCGATTTCCAAATAAACGGATCACCAGATGTAACAAAATGGATCTTAATTAATGATTTAATACCAAACAGAAAACAATAAACGTGCGGAAAAGACGGTATACCGCAAACATGAGATGCAAAATTTAGAACACCATATCCGGATTTCGACAATTAATGTCTCTTCAGTGATATTAGGAATCGAAATAGTATTTGGAAGGCCATATAATATACCTCAATTTAGGATAGACTCTATAATTTTGAAGAGTCGAAATAGGATGAACGGATCATATAACCCGAAGGCAAATATAATACAAGCCCAAACGAAAAATTATACACAAGTCTAAATTGAAAACAATGTTCAAACCTATGATTGCGTTTGATAAAAACCGCAATTTGTATACGTGTGCATGCAAAACAAATTTCTTGGTAGAGGGGTCTAAATACAGCACAAACAACATTTTCCAAAAGACCAAAAAAGTGATAAAGTATTTTTTTATCAAAACGCATTTGACTAGCAGGTCGAACAACGGATATTCTTAAACACTGCTGACTGCCATGGCGATTGCCAAATAAACGGATCACCAGATGTAACAAAATGGATCTTTATTATTAATTTTATACCAAATAGAAAACAATAAACTTGCGGAAAAGATGGTATACCGCAAACATGAGGTGCAAAAATTAGTACACCATATCCGGATTTCGACAATTAATGTCTCTTCCGTGATGTTAAGAATCGAAATGGTATTTGGAAGGCCATATAATTTACCTCAATTTAGGATAGACTCTTGAATTTTGAAGAGTTGAAATAGGATGAACGGATCATATTACCCGAAGGCAAATATAATACAAGCCCAAACGAAAAATTATACACAAGTCTAAATTGAAAACAATGTTCAAACCTATGATTGCGTTTGATAAAAACCGCAATTTATATACGTGTGCATGCAAAACAAATTTCTTGGTAGAGGAGTCTAAATACAGCACAAACAACATTTTCCAAAAGACCAAAAAAGTGATAAAGTATTTTTTTATCAAAACGCATTTGACTAGCAGGTCGAACAACGGATATTCTTAAACACTGCTGACTGCCATGGCGATTGCCAAATAAACGGATCACCAGATGTAACAAAATGGATCTTTATTATTAATTTTATACCAAACAGAAAACAATAAACTTGCGGAAAAGATGGTATACCGCAAACATGAGGTGCAAAAATTAGTACACCATATCCGGATTTCGACAATTAATGTCTCTTCCGTGATGTTAAGAATCGAAATGGTATTTGGAAGGCCATATAATTTACCTCAATTTAGGATAGACTCTTGAATTTTGAAGAGTTGAACTAGGATGAACGGATCATATAAACCCGAAGGCAAATATAATACAAGCCCAAACAAAAAATATAATATATATACATTTGGATTATACACATGATTAAGTAAGGAACCTTTTGGTCTTTTTAATATATTCAAAATCATTTCTAAAAATCTAATTCTTTTTGCTCATCGTCGGATTCATACTACCAGATGCTATTATCTTTAGGAACAAGGTCATCTTGATATTGTCTCCCGAATTAAAGGTAAATACTTTCCAGATTATTGAATCATTCTGTATTGCGGTTGAGGAGGGGAGATGATGGGGGCAAAAATAGCATCGTGCTTTTTATCAGACAGTTCAGCAAAATACTGTGTTTAATACCGTGATATTAACAGTTGCCACGAACCGCGATTCATAAAAAATCAGAAACCTATAAAAACCGTTACATATTTATCAAAAATGAAATCTTAATAGAATGCTTTGAAATTTACAGGAAGAGTGGTGTATGGTATACAGTTAGTCATTGTTGCAGCTATTTCTCAACTCATAACCTTCATATCAGCAATGGTTGTCCTTACAAAATATGAGGAACAAAATGAAAGCTATGCAATCATAATTATGTTATTAATGATGCCAGTGTGTTCATTCCTTGCTGATGGAACATATCTTTTATGTAAGGCGTGTTGTGGTCAAAGTGAGTAAACATTATGTTTTTGTTCATATAAGAGCAGATAAAAGTTCAGCTTGTCAAGATTAAAACATCAATAAATAAAAAAAGTTGCAGTCGGACAAAACAGGTGTCAACATACTGAAAATGTTCAGCTGCATCCAGTTAATGTCTGTCAAACTTTGGTTAAAAATGTACATAATGGGAGAGTCCTTCAGTTAATTTCACACACAAAAAAAGATTGGTTTACATACTCGACTTACATTTACCAATGCCTTCTGGGTTTTTGAAAACACAGATTCATTCATGTTCATCAATTTTGTTATTGCCATTCCACAAGCTAGTTAGTTGAATATATACTGTGAAACGCGACAATTGAGCTGCGGAGGTTGTACTGGTCCCATTAAATCTTTTAAATTCGGATCAAATACACAATATATTTGTGCAATGCATCTCTGAATTTTACCTTTATTCCTGTATATGTGTCGATCGTATGTTCGTTGCGTCTTAAACACTAGGGTACCTTAGTCAAATTTTGAATACAGATTCTGCTAGCAACGCTGGTAATCGTATTCAAAGAAGGCCAGACGTTCGAGCCAGTTGCTTCGCGCATTGCTGAAATATGTGACTCTAATCTTAATCTTCGGAAGTCGCTATTTTCTCGTAGCAAGTTCCCATCGAATTTTTGTAGGAACTTTGAATGGCCATTTAACAATGTTTCCAACAGTATTAAGTTTACTTTACTGTCATTATTATTATGGATAAAAGTCTTAAATAGAAAAAAAAAAAAGTTTACTTTATCAGATAGTGGAGGTATTTTGAAACACTTTTCTAACTGCCCCCTCCCCCTTTTTTTCAAATTGTCAAGCGGATCACGTACGAGACGTTCCGAAGTCTTTCCGAATGTAATTATTTCAGAATACTCCTGGGAAAACGTTTGAGTTTTGGACGACGACTGGTGATATGATTTATTTCTGACTGCTTCATGGATAAACGAGCGAACCAATCGTCAAATATTTTTTTATACTAAGGTTAAAGACCATATAGTTTTCATAAAAAGTGGGGGAAGGGGGAAGGGGCGGGGTAGGGGAAGGATAAAAATTAATATTCTGTCCTGATAATAACAGGAATTACGTATTAATAATTTTGCCTAAGACAGGTGGAAAATAAAGAAGCTGTCCTATAAAAATACAGGATAATGCTGGAAATAACTGTATACATGAACGATATGGTCTAAGGGGTATGAACAGAAGTTATTCAATATTTCAATGGAGATATACGTGTTATGCAGTTAATGCACAGTTCACATGTCAAATTTAAAGTAATAAACGATAAACTGGTATTAATTCTAGGACTTATCATACTTCGATCTACAAAAAATGTACACTACAGAAATTTTTCATACTTGATTTTATACGAATATTACCTGCATTACACAAATCAATGTATAGAATCCTGCCAATTTATGCACTACACAAAATTATTTTTCAAAAAGCAAAAAACGGACAATGATTGCAATATTTCAATCTGCGCCTTGACAAAGGCGCTATAAGCATGGCCGCCTTTTTCCTTTTCTTTTTTTTTGTTCTTCTTATTCATTTCATATATATATGATTCAGACGTACTTATAATATAATTATTTCTGTGACTATATCCTACATTAATTTGTAAGATCCTCTACGATAGATTATTCAGCTGATCTGTAATATTCCATCTTCATGCCTTATATATCATGTACTGTGTTACGACGCTAGATAAAAAAAACTGACGAGGAAAGGTAACACCCGGCCACCGAAAGCTTGATTTTTGTCGAGCCTTGGTGGTCGAGTGGTCTAGCGCGTCGGGCATAGTGCAAGGCAATTTGGTGCCACGATATCTCAGTAGCATGAGTTCGAATCCCGTCCAGGGAAGAACAAAAAATTTGCGGAAACAGATCTACATTTGTTGGGCCGTTATTTAGACGAATTATGTATACAGAATGTGTTTTCAGCCTTGTATCACCATCACTGGTGATCCGATGGATAAAATCTGTCGTAAAGTTGTCACTGGTTCAGACGTACTTATAATATAATTATTTCTGTGACGGCATCCTACATTAATTTGTAAGATCTTCTACGATAGATAATTCAGCTGATCTGTAATATTCTATCTTCATGCTTTATATATCATGTACTGTGTTACGACGATAGATAATAAACTGACGAGGAAAGGCAACACCTGGCCACCGAAAGCTTGATTTTTGTCGAGCCTAGGTGGTCAAGTGGTCTAGCGCGTCGGGCATAGTGCAAGGCGATTTGGTGCCACGATATCTCAGTAGCATGAGTTCGAATCCCGGCAAGGGAAGAACAAAAAATTTGCTTCCGCAAAATTACAGATCTAACAACCGCAATTTTTATACGTATGCATGCAAAACAAATTTCTTCGTAGAGGGGTCTAAATACAGCACAAACAACATTTTCCAAAAGTCTAAAAAAAGTGAAAAAGTATATTTTAACAAAACGTTTTTGACTAGCAGGTCGAACAACGGATGTTCTTAAACCCTGCTGACTGCCATGGCGATTGCCAAATAAACGGATCACCATATGTAAAAAAATGGATCTTAATCATATGTAACACTCAGAAACGTGTCCACCCCAAACGTGTTCAATTACCCAAACGTGTCCATATGACGTACATGAACTGCAAAAGCATATCTAATTGATAAATTGCACCGAAACGTGTTCTGTTTATGAGCACCCAATCGTGTCCATTTTTCAAAAACATGAAGCTGGTCGTTCAATACCCTCATTCATTATGAAAGTATTTAGGCATCACCGGAGCATATTAGTACAAAATAATTCACTAAGTAAACGATGATTTAAACTGTACAAAACTAGTTAATTGCAATGTGTATGTAATTTTTTGCTCTAATTAACCGTAAAAATATTGTCACTGGACATTAAGCAACCCACAGTCAATAGTTAAAATTATATGTTGCAAATTAAGCTTGCAATTATGCATAATTTAAACAACCGGAGTTGCACAAACTAATAACATATCTAATCGATAAAGGGCGCCAAAGCGTGTCCGTTTTATGAACACACAATCGTTTCCATTTTATTAAAGACGCACAAACGTGTCCAATTGAAGCCTAAGTGTCTGTTTTTTGTGAACGTCCAATGGTGTTCATATTTCAAAAACGCCTTTTAATTTATTGTTAATATGTTGTCGTCCTAGACATGCCTCAAATATTTGTTACTGGACGTAAGCATCCGGCAATCAATAAATCTTTTGTCCTAAATATGGACGAAAAAATATCCACACAATTTTAAGCAAGCAACAATCAGTTAATCCATTATTTTTTTCTGTTAGTTGATTTAATTCACATCTTGTACGCATACTGTTTTTAACGTACATGTATCTTAACGTTACCTTTAAGTAATACACGTTTTCCTAACGAGTGTTAATTATTAGGCTGGTACATGTATCAGGGATGCTTATAATACATGCACAGTTATTTCTCTTGTTTCTGTCTCTTTAGTGAATGTACCCGTAAACGTTATTGACGTCGCTAAGGACATATCACTATTAGCGCTAACAGTTTTGAGACGTTCTGGCGTTCTAAAGAGGACACGTTTTGTCGAACAGCAATTATCGAACACGTTTGAGGGATGTGAAATCGGACATATGGGTGATTTGTGATTTTAAGGACACGTTTGGGCGAAATAGACACGTTTGGGGGAATCAGACACGTTTGAGTGTGTTACATATATAAAGACTTTAAGTAAAATTTTCCGCTACAAACTTATTTATGTACGCAGCCACGTCCGATCAGAATTTGGACGTTATTTCGATGCCTCGTGTAGAAAGAGCGCCACACTCTCTGAACCTTAAGAAGCCTTGCAACAACTTTTTGAGAGCTCCGTAAGTGGCCTGTTGCAAAAGCAAAATGTCTGTCCCTGACCAATTTATACTCATTATCCAATGGCAGTCCAAATTTCCCTGTATGACCTATATTCCAGTCGACCCTTACAGGACTTACTTATGGTGTATTTTAATAATTTATTCTCGTCATGCATGAAATATTTGCTGCTTAATTTAAGCAACCAACAATTAATCATCCTATGTTGTACAAAACTGACATTAAATATTACCGTCAAATTCGTTTCTTTCGTACATTCTTAAGAATATAGAACCGGTCCATGTTATGAAGTAAAATGGCGAGATAAAAAATGTTTGTCTGCTGTGGATACAAAAGGGTGGATTAAGAGCATAACTTTGCAATATATATTAATAAAATTTAGAATGGAAATGGGGAATATGTCAAAGAGACAACAACCCGACCAAAGAGCAGACAACAGCCGACGGCCACCAATGGGTCTTCAACGCAGCGAGAAAATAGATACGATAAGAGATTATTTTCATTCATTTTCAGGTCAATGCTATTAGTTTTATTGGTCTAGGCAGTGGGTTATCAATTATAAATAGATCTACAAAAAAGTAAACATGTCTGGAATCGTTCGACGACTTCTTATTGGAGTTATTGCCCTTTAATGACGACTTGTACAGACTTTTTGTCTGATATCTTAAAAACTGTTGCAGATGAGATAGAAAAATTAAGTTAGCAAAAATTATCAGCAAGACGAGATCTACAAAGAAGTGAAATTGCCGAAATCGTCCGGCGACTATTCCTTTGGGTTATTGCTTTTTAATGATAATTTTGACCATTTTTTTGCGTTTTTGATTATTATCTTGAAAACTAAGATATATACGTAGACACTTAGAATAGCAAATCTGATCAACAAGACGAGATCTATAAATACGTCAACATAGCTGAAATCATCAGACGACTCCTTATTGGAGTTATTGCCATCTAATGACGTTATTTACCGTTTTGCGTTGCCTTATATCTTGAAATCTATTATAGATAGACAGAAACTTAAATAAACAAAAGTGATCAGCAAGACAAGACCTAAATAAATCAAATGGTCGAAATCGTCCGACGACTCATTCTTGGAGTAACTGCTCTGAAATGAAGATGT